CAGAATCCTTTGGACAGATTCAGTTCATTCTTTGCATGTGCCTAGTACTTTATGTGGGAAATATGCACATGCAGTGGTTTAGCGATTTGATTCAAAATGGCCGACTGGCAGCCATCTTGTTTTTTGAAAATGATGTATTTTGGACATGCTTTGTCAGTTTTCATTCAAACTTGGTAGATGTTAGAATACATGTCCATGACAATTTCTTTCGCAATTATATCAAAGATGGATGACTGGCAGGCATCTTGTTTTTTTTTTTAAATGTGGTATCTTGGAATGCTTTGTCAGTTTTCATTCAAATTTGGCACATACTTTATACATGTTAGGATACATGTCCATGACAATTTGTTCCAAAATCGGATCAAGGATGGCCGATTGACAGCCATCTGATTTTTTGGCCTTACTACTATATTTCCAAGATTTATGTACCATTTTCATTCGTATTTGGCACATACATCATACATGTCAAATTGTTTCATAATCAGATCAAAGATGGCAGAATAACGACTGTTTTTATTTTTGGCCTTATTACTATATCTCTGTCACCCATGTATCATTTTCATTGATATTTAGCATGTCATAAATGTATACATGTACATGTCAATTCAATTTGATCAAATATGGCTGACTGGCGGCCATCTTGTTTGTTTAAAATGTGACAACTTGGACATGCTTTTACTTGTGATCTATGTTTTTTCTTTGCTATGTCTTAAACCGGAGGGGTCGTTACACAACACATGTTCGAATTTGATGTAAATAAACAATCTGTTGTATACGCCACTAGAAACTCTAGTTTCAAGGACATGCTCGCGACAACCCCTCCACTTTTATATGACAAGCACAAAGAGAACTTTCAAAAATTTAATGGGGACTGTGTAATTTTATTTTAAGTCCAGTTCCTGATATGTTATATATTCTAAAACATTTTACCACATCAAATGTTGGAAATATCGCTGAAATTGTTATGGAATTTGTTTTATATACGAGATACATACTCATAGTATTACATGAATAAAATGACACATTTGTTTAAACAAACTCCATTTTAATGTGTTACATATTCATTGAAATAAATTGTTCATGCAAGTGAATGTGTTTGTTTATTGATCTCAGAAGTACACCTACAAACTGTTGTAATTTGTTATTAAATAGCGTGTCAAACTTGGTTAGAATAAATCCCTTATTTTATTGCTACCTTATTGTGACTTGTGTGGAATACATGTATGTTAACCTGCACTGTTTTTAAGTCTCTGCTGAATGAGTCCAAAACATTGATTTGTTTTCATTTGACCTTCAGCAACATTAATTATATTCTATCAACATCTTTCATTGTTTACAATTAAGAGTATAAAAACTAGACAGGGACTATGTCATTGACAATGACTTGTCGTACACTAAACTGCACCCTTACTAGTCATTGTGTAAACATAACACCAACCAATAGTAGGTAAATTAGCTATAAAGAAATGTGGCATAGTCACAAGATATATTGTTTATTAATAGGCTAACATTCTGGAACACAAGTGAAGGACAGAATTTGTACATGAATTAATCATATTGGAGATTTCAGTAATATCGACTTTAATCACTGGCAATTAATACATGGGAAATAAACTTCTGTCAATAAATATAATCAACTTGAAATGATCAGATTAGGGTATAGTGGCTTTATAAGATTGACACAAAAATGAAATGACTGATTCGATGACCATACATGAACACTGTAATTCAGTTTTGAATAGTTAAACTAGGTAACTGCCATCTGAAGTAAACTAATTTTAAAAACTGTAAACAAATAAATATTAAACTGTGTCCACTACTGCAGACTGATAAAAATATACCTGATTAAATCCTGTGATCAGTTTAAACTAATTTTGACTGATGGTGAATCAAACTTTACAAAAAACTGCTACTCGCCGAAAGTCACTTCAGTTTCAGATGACTATATATATATACCACTTTATTGTAACCAGTCAAAATTGGTATTTTAGAAATCTTCAGGTTTAAAAAATATAGATTGACAGTGAACTAAGAAAGTTTACATACTGTTCACTAATACTAAAAACAAATAATTTTAGACAGATTTTGAAGTATTTTCACCACAATATGTGCTTAAATCAGCATTCTGTTGAATTTGAAGGTAAAACCATGGCTAATGGTTTATACTATCTATGTACATGTTGACGCAAAATGATCTCTAAGTTCAAGATAACATTCTCTTGCATTTGAAATGTTAACATCCAAATTTAATTGTTTAACTTTCTCTCTAAAATCTTCCGGTAGATAACCATCTGTATGTTCATAAAAATTGTGTCTTCTTTCAATTTCATCAATGTCTGACTGACGAGGTTTGAAACCACATTCAATTCCCCCTAAAATAAATAAAGGTAATCGATAATATGTGGTGCCTGTATGAATCAATTATTGGAATTTCAGAGTATTAAGTAGTGGTAATCTGATTGGTCCTTGCAAGCAGTATCACAAAATACGCCAATATCTAAAGTTATTGCTGGTTTTACACAATATGCCTTGAACTATATTAATTTTAATAACTCTTGTAGTTTCAGATAATGAGAGCAACATAATTTCAAAATAGACAATTTCTTTTATGCAAATCACTGCTCTACTATGTTTTGAATCTGTGCTCATAACAAATTAAATGAAAATGACTACAGTCTTTTAATAAATCTTATATTCCAGGTCCACTTATCAGATATATCTCCTTCCTATATATTGAACAATATGTCAACTGACATTGCATATATAACAGTTCCCATGCCCAGAATAAAGTCGTATTGCTTTTTAAAAATATACCGGTACTCAATTGTATTATTATAATAGTTCATATTCACCATGATTCTCAGGGAAATTATATATGTCCTCAGGAATACCACAAGGTCTTAGGACTCTATTTTGTTTACGTATACGATGTGTGTTCCATTCATCTACAAAATCATCCAACTCTTTCTTAATCAAAGGCATATATACAGCTGTGAGGCACATTCTAAGAGGAAAACAGCAAGATACATAGACTGTTTCAAGATGTGTTCAAATTGACTGACAGAGGAAAGCTGCAGAATGATTTGTATAGGTAATTATAATAATTTAGGTAGTAAGATAAAGGCATGTATACCTGCAGCCATAAACCAGTTATCACAGCAACCAAAGCTTCTACCTACATAATGTTTACATCATGATTAGGACACACAGTAATACAAATTTCATACAGACACTTCTACAATTTACACATTGTTGAATGAAATTGGAGACACTTAGGAGCCGAAAAAAGCAACATAATGCATCATACCTGTCGTTGCTGATATCAGGGTCATAAAGTTCACTGCATTCCAGGTCCTACAGGTGATGAGTGTGATATTTAATTATTTGGTAGGGTGTCATTAAATAAATGATAACTGCATAACTGTGAATTTTACCACTTTGGTACAGATATATCATAATATATCACAATTTGGATTGTTGGCCTAGGGTAAAAAATATTGTCATAGTAGCCAATTGTTGATGCCAAGTAGATTTTTTTTTCTGTTGAGACAAACTATTTCACAAAAACTGTGAATTTGTAAATGTAAATAAAACTTCAATGATTGAAAAACCTGTTTTCTTATCAAACAAGTGTTCCAACAAACAATTCATAAAATACTTTGTGGATTTGTCTAAAGTACTACATTGATTGGTAATGGTTTCATACTTTCTGAACTCGTGGAACAATTCTGCTCACCCGTTTATGCATATATTATTTAACACTTTCTCAAAAACAGATTAACAATGGGGCAAAAAAAACCCATAAACTATTAATTAAAAACTAACAATGATTAATTGTATACATATTTTAACACAAAATAGTGCCAGTGTTATATTTGTTAAAATATGTACACATGTAAAAAATGCGCAAGTTGCATTCTATTTTAAACAGCAATCACTATAATGGTATTAAACTAGTCACCTACCCCTTGCATACATACAACAATTTTTAGTATAATCTCACCTTGAATTCATCTATCCAATATTGAGCATTGTATTTTCTTAGCTGTGCCCACCAACATTTCAATACACTGTTAAAAATAGTGAGAAATAAATAATTAAACAACCCTGTTTATGGATAAATCACATAAGGTGTGCTCCCAGGCATTAAAAACAGAAATTATTAATCCTTTTTTTTCAAATTATTGTTGGTGG